CCTCCCCCTCCCCCGCTCCCACCCCACCCAGCGCCAGGAGGCCAGCGGTCCTGCTTCCCGTTCGCTGAACGAGCCGCAGCGCCGGAGAGGAGACAACCAGTGGTCAGGACTGATCAGTTTGCCTTGTTAAAAAGAATTGCTTAGCTGTGCACACTCGAATCCACGTTTTCCTGACACGATTGAAGGGAAGAGCTCCTGACAGAGGGCTTTCTTCATACGGAGACTCAGGCTCCAGGCGGAGATCTGCCTCCACATCCTGGGCTCTAAAATGGAGACAATACACAGGTGCCAGGAGTGAACTGTGTCGTAAATGGTATGAGATTTAAATCTGTAAACTGTAAGGCGACTTACAATACCGCCTGCTGTCAGTCACCATAGATGATATATCCGTATGGCCTGGTAAACAATTTCTGCAACCCCAATCCCAGCTAATAAATACCCACAAGTGTAGGCGAGGCAAGAGGCCCACGGTGGGTGTGTCTGGTGATTGTCTCAGGCCTTCCCAAGAAGTCTTTGAGGAGCCCAAGGTTAATAAGATTTTCTCCTACGTTATCCTCTAGATGTCTGATAGTTTATTGCTTATATTTAAGTGTATGATCATTTTGAGTTAATTTTTGTGAATGGTGTGAGGTAAAGTTCGGGCCTGCTTATTTAGTGAGTTATGCATTTGGCTAGCACCGTTCCAGTGCTGTTGGTCGAATAGATCCTCCTTACCCTTTGAGTGGGAAGGCCTTAACACCTTGTCAGGAATCAACTAATTGTATATATAGATGGTTCTCTTCCATGGTGCTTAGAATGCTCTGCATCACAAGTAAATGTATATCCACTTGTGGTTCACTTTTCAGGCAGAAAATCTATTTCAGGAACTTCAAGGACACTTTCAAGCTCTGACTGCAACATTAAACCTCAGAAATATCCTTTTCTATCTCATAACCAATACTGCAGTGCTTTTGGACTATTGAACTGTCATGGACTGTCTTGTTGTTTTCTGCTATTAGTGGATAATTGTTGACCTAAGACTTCCTGGTGTTTACATCTGTGCCTTTACATGGCATCCTGATGTATTAATTACCGCTCACAGGTAATTACTTCCTGCTTGACCAGCAATACAGGGCATTTCATGAGGCAGGGATAAAACACAAGGACACACGAACAATACATACTACCCATTGGGGCTTCCCAGCAAGCTCTAAAGAAATCTGGTTAGTCTGCTAAATAGCATTTATACTCCCCCAAACAGTCAACCCTGCACATGTACTGGTTAGGTCTCCAGCATAGGGTACGCTGTCTGGCTCTCCTTGCCTTGTTTTGTTTTGTAACTTCAGCAGCTCGCCATTTGGTAAGCCATGGATTCAAACAGAGTTAGGTGGAATGTTTGTTTCCGGTTTAAGGAAATCCAGAAAAGGGGACACTTGCCCTAAGACTTGCCCAAGTGAACTCACTTCACACAATTAAACTCCTGCCTTAAGATGTCCGCGAATTGTTTGCAGAGAGATCCTGTAGGTGGGCTCCCACAGGAAAGAGATATTCTGAAACAGGATAAAATTAAACAGTAGGAAAGTTTGTTTTAAACACAGTTAATTTTCATTGTATTTACATACTGACTAGAGTTTGGTTAAATCATAGTTAAACATACCAGACAACCTCATATCCCCGAATCCATGTCCACGGAAAGGGAGCCAAGGTTTCAGAACCGGGCTCACAGTGCAAAGATTAAAGGCACGTACAGACCCTCGGGGATGTGATTAATGTGCACTGACTTAAGGTGTTAGTACACATCCGCTGCCTTTGATTCCCTCATTTTAGATGCACCACAGGGCATTTTTATCAGCCCGGGTGATGCAGTTTACGTGGAGGCTTTGAGGGACCTGGGTCGGTGCCCGTATTCCACGTGCTGTTCTCCTTAACCTCGTACTGGAAGAAATGGGAGGTCGCATTGAAGACTTGCAGAAGAATGTGAACGACTTGATGGTGCAAGCTGGGATTGAAAGTTCCGCTCAAGAGCAAGTGGCGAGGCCTTATTAAGGCACTAAGGTGTTCACCGTTTACGTATCTTCTGCTTTTTCATCTTGAAACATTTAAGCCCATATTTGTTCACTAAGGGAACTACTGCTTCTGAACTACATGAAAAACCTTCAGGAGTAATAAAAAAAACTCACAAATGCTCTTTTCTAAATAGAACAGAAACACTCTTTGTCATTGTTCCTTAAAAAGTGCACATTTTAGAGGAAAACTATTATTTAAAAATTGGATTTTGTTAAAGTACTTTTGACCCTCATCCCTCAAATTAGTTTTCAATCAAAACACAAGTCACGATGAATGAGTGCTTGGGGATGACAACTAGTGGCTTCTGTTTGAGACGTTCATGGAAGGATTTAAAGAAGACACATGTGCATTAGGTTCTCACCCCATTTCATGAGTGGTTCCTGAGGATCCCACCCCGCCCCCCAGAATGCAAATATTTCTTTTCCAGTGGAATTTTGCATTTCATCTTTTTTCTTTTACTATTTTATTTTTAATTTTTAGTCTTAGTTTTATTTTTTAATTGAAGTTTTTATTGTAGTTGACGTACAATAGTATATAAGTTATAGGTGTACAATGTAGTGATTCACAATTTTTAAATGTTATACTCCATTTATAGTTATTAGAAAATATTGGCTGTATTCCCCATGTTGTACAATGTATCCTTGTAGCTTATTTTATATATAATGGTTTGTGCCTCTCAATCCCCTCCCCCTAGTTGCCCCTCCCCCTTCCGTCTCCCCAATGGTAACCACTAATTTGTTCTCTAGATCTGTGAGTCTGCTGCTTCTTTTTTTTTTTTTGCGGTACGTGGGCCTCTCACTGCTGCGGCCTCTCCCGTTGCGGAGCACAGGCTCCGGACGCGCAGGCTCAGCCTCCATGGCTCACGGGCCCAGCCGCTCTGTGGCATGTGGGATCTTCCCGGACCGGGGCACGAACCCGTGTCCCCTGCATCGGCAGGCGGACTCTCAACCACTGCGCCACCAGGGAAGCCCTGTGAGTCTGCTTTTCTGTTATATTCACTAGTTTGTTATATTTTTTAGATTTCCCACATATAAGTGAAATCATACAGTATTTGTCTTTATCTGTCTGACTTATTTCACTTAGCATGATGCCCTCCAAGTCCATCCATGTTGCTGCAAATGGCAAATTTCATTCTTTTTTTATGGCTGAGAAGTATTCCATTGTATATACACACCACATCTTTATCCGTCATCTGTTGATGGGCACTTGGGTTGCTTCCATATCTTGGCAATTGTAAATAATGCTGCAGTGAACATTGGGGTGCATGTATCTTTTCGAATTAGTGTTTTTTGTTTTTTTTTCTGCACTTCATCTTGAAGATGCAGATAAATGCTTGGCTTCAGGTCTTGGACTGAATATGTATCTGTGTGACATACCTTGAGACACAAACCTTTTGTCTTTTGTGAAGATACTCAAACATGTTTCACTGACATAATATTCTGACTCTATGAGCACATTCTAATTTTAGTTGAACAATTAGATGCCGTGGTTTTCCTTGCTTTCCCATTTCTCTGTCAACTGTTATCCCAAGTCAGCTGGCAGATCATCCGAGCTTATCCTGCCGAATCAGAGTGAGTTCACCTGTCAGTGACTTATTTATAAATTTCTACATCTGCTGTTCTGGTAGAAAAGGTAATTGGAATCTGTGTCCTGCACACACGAGCTGCAGATCTCGTGGAGAGCGCTCCAGTTCTGTCTGCAGGATGAATACTTAGCTCTACCCAGGGAGGTTGCGTCAGATGGGTCCACCCGCCCTGGAGCCTTGTCCTCCCTCCACCCTCTGGGTGCTGAGGACCAGGTTCTGCAGGGCACCAAGCCCAGCTCTGGGCATGCTGCCAGGAAGGGGATGGCGGCCAGTAACTTAGTTCCTTCCTGTCATCACCCCGACTCCAGTTGGCTGTTTTAAATTTGGTCAAAACCCACCATATATTAGGCATCAAATTAAATGGATGAGTAGGTATCAAAACTTCACTTTTTTTTTCTTTTTGTTTTTGCGGTACGCGGGCCTCTCACTGTCGCGGCCTCTCCCATTGCGGAGCACAGGCTCCGGACGCGCAGGCTCAGCGGCCATGGCTCACGGGCCCAGCCGCTCCGCGGCATGTGGGATCCTCCCGGACCGGGGCACGAACCCGTGTCCCCTGCATCGGCAGGCGGACTCTCAACCACTGCGCCACCAGGGAAGCCCCAAAACTTCACTTTTTTGATGCACGTACAGCCATTATTTAAAGCAGCATGAGAGAAAGTCAGATATCTAAAAGTGTGTTTAAAAGCTGATAATGCCTTTTAAATTAAAAGAAGGACCTGAGTGAGTCTAAATCTATTTGGCTAAATCTGTGCTCGTTGGTTTTGCTGGGTCAAGGATTCCTAACACAGTGCTGCGGATTTCAGGGGATTCGGCAAACCCCCTAAACTTGCTGTGTTCCTGCTGTGGGGAGGGGAGTCCCTGACCCCCAGATGGTAGGAGCTACTGTTCCGTATTCCAGCGGATTTGGCCCGCCGCCCCGACTTGGTAGGACATCTGAACACCTTTCCTGCTGCGAGGAAGCAGGCAAGCTGTTGTCTAAGGAGAACCTCTCCACACTGTTGATGCAAAGTAATGCTTTGTCACTTGAAGAACACACCCCTTAAGCTGTGAATCCACACAGACTCCATCGGACTAAAATGAACATCATTTAACATTTAGGTTTTTCTATATTCCGAATTTTTCCTATACAAAACTGTTCTAGTAATTACGGGAAAGTAAGCTAATTTTATTGATAGCTTTGGATTCCAGTTTACGTAACTGTACATTAATTGATATATAAAATCAATCGTTACTTCTTTCAACTTTTTTCTTACAGACTTGAGGACAGTAGACCGGTCATTTGAAAATGTGAAAGAGTGAAAACTGTACTTTTTGAGTAATAATCTACATAACACTAGTTCTTATTTTTAGTATTTAAGAATTCATTTTAGTAAAATAGAAGATTAAAAGAACAAAGGCAATGCAATAAGAATGTAATTAAGAAAGTGATTAACCACTTAACAAAGATGGTTGTAAAATGACAGAACACTTTTCAATGCATACCTAATATTTGTAAATCATGGAGGAAAAGCAAGAGTTATATTAGGTCAATTTTTTTTTCCAGAATTAAGTTCTATATAGATCCTTCTTTAAAATACCACAAGCAGTTTTCTGATAGAAGTTGCTTTTTTTTTTTTTTTTGGCCACTGCAGCACGTGGGATCTTAGTTCCCCAACCAGGGATCAAACCCACAGCCCCTGTATTGGAAGTGCAGAGTCTTAACCACTGGACTGCCAGGGAAATCCCAGAAGTTGCTTTTTTAATAACTGCATTCCAATTCAATAATTCCAGTCACACAGTTTTGGGGAAGACTTGGTTTAGTCTGCCCAGTCCAAGCAAATTCTAACAGTATGCTCTCCAAACCAAAGGAAACCAATCAAAGGACAGCCAAAGAAACAGGTGATGCAGGAGCTCCATGATGGCTTCCTGGGACACCCTCGCCCGCTCCAGCCCCCATAGAGGTAGTTACCAAGGAGATGCACAAAGATTGCACCTAAGTTTACTTTGTCAGTTAGAGATGCTTTCAAACAATTGTTCAATTCACCTGTCTGAGCCAAAGTACAAATAGAGCTATGATCACCTAAAAAGGCTCTCATTGTAAAAAATAACATTGTTCCTGCATATAAAATAAATCATACTCTTCATACAAAAGTCAAAATCACTCATAATTCTACAATTTAGAATTAACCACTGTCAATACTTTTTTCTATGCAGGCACTTTTATATAGCTGATCATATTGTTTATAATCTAATATCCTGTTCTCGTATCATAAACACTTTTCCCCAGGTGAAAGTTTCATACCCACTTTTTATGGTTACTAATATTCAGTTATGTGGTTGAAATAATTTAACCATACTCTTAACTATTCCTTGGACTTTGAGGTTATTTCTCACTTCCTTGCTATTATAAATAATGCTTTAATGAGCATTGTTAACCACGAATTCTCTGCACATTTCACTAGGGCCAGAAGTATGACCACAGGCCAAGCACACTGAGCAGAACGCACCTAAGAAAAGAAAGGAAGGGTCATTTCACAGCCCCGACAGTGATGCAAACCCAAAGTTTAAACCCAAAGTTTTAAAGTAGCATCATTTAAATTCAATATTCTTCGTGGTTTAAAATCACGATATTTCCATTTGATTATGTGAAAAATCTCAAAGCATCTTAGCCATAATTATAATTTTAGTCGAAACTGGGGCAAATCCTTGAATTAAAGTAAACTAAACAGAGTTGTGTCTTCATCAATCATAGAGAACACAATTTAAAGCCCAGGATTTTTAAGAAATTAAGTGAGTAGAAGAGAAAGCTTCTATTAGTTACTAACTAAAATAAAAACATTGATATTGTCAAAAATATACTAACTTCTTTCGAAAGAAAGTCCCAGGCTGATCCCCTTTTTTTGGCTCATCTGACTGACATCTCAATTATTCACTCAAACCACAGACATCTAGCTTTAAAGAGATTTGGCATTTTATAATATCATACCTGTTTCTATATCTTCCTAATGTTTTTATAAAGAATTGCTATTTTCCAGCACCCTGTTACATATATTTAAAAGAAACGAGAATGTTTTCATAAAGAAAAGAGGGAAAGTAACAGATGGATTTACATGTACTTAAATACTCTTATTCTAATCTAAACTGGAGGACACAAAATTTTAGCAGAAAGCAGTGTATTCATTGAATACTTAAGTAAAATGGAGTTACTTCAATATCAAATCCTGCATTCATGTATCTGTTATGAAACTTACGAAAACATAAAGCTTAATAATAAAGGGTTGAATCTGTAAGGCAGAAGTTCTGGGTGCAGTTGTCTGAAGTTTTAAATTCTCACATTTCACTTCCTTTTTTACAGTTGCCCAATCTATTACCATAGATTTTTAACTCCCCCCAAATCTCCCTTCAGCCGCTCCAAGCTTGGGCAAGAAAGATCTTTTCAGAACTGAAGTTCCATCACCTTACACCTCCTTCCCCAAGCAAAGCCTCCGCAGCTGCCAGCACCCCACTTCCCCCCAACCCCGCATCCCACTACACTCTCCCCGCAAGACGAGCCCCACTCCCTCCCACCATGGGGCCTGGTTCCTGAGGTCCCCTCTGGAATGGAGTTACAGGCGCACACACACACACACACACACACACACACACACACACACGCCTAGTTAGCACTTTTTATATCTGATCTCAGCTTGAAAATAATTTCCTCAGAGATTCTTTCCTTGAGCGCCTGTCTGGGTCTGAAGTAATTTTATGGGATCTCTTGCCGACTGTCACAGTTGTGATTTTACTTTTATGTGATCATTTGATTGTCTTCTCCACAAGGCAGCAACTGGATTGATTTTGTTCACCCAGCTGCCCAGATGCTACTCAAACATTTTCTTTGAATTAATGAGTGAATTTTGAGAGTTTCAGAATACTTTGCAGTCTTTTTGTCCATGGAGATGTGTGAAAACTTGACCACTTTTTGAACAAGAAAACCGGGGGCCAGAGGGAGGGCTGGGGACAACAGCAATGACTGGAGAAGGCTGGCGTGATTGGCCCCCAGAGAGCAGGGGAGGCGATGCTGAGCTCCTGGGCGAGCTGCGGTTGTTCTTCTAGAAACTTTGACGATAAATGTAAAAATGCCACAGAAGAATGCTACGATCAGATGCATTTTAAAAGCCATTAATAAAAACAATGTAGGAAAAACAATTCAAAATGATACCCACTTAAAGCAAGTCTTCCAAAATGTCCTGGTCTGATTTTCAAGACCTCAGACTTTCCCAGGCAATCTGGGGAGGTCACAAGAACACCCTGCATTTTAACTGAGCAACCCAAGAAAGCAAACTTTCAGTGTGGTTTTTGGAATCATCAGTGATGCGGTTTTCTAGGGTAGCTTTACATGGTAGATGCTTTGATTCTGTTGGTGCCCCAAGCTCCCCATCTCGTCTGGACTCAGTGCAGGCAGAACAGGGCAGTCAAGCCCACAGACCCTTGGACGCCTACATAACAGCCTAGTGCAAACACAGGAGGTTGCTGATAGTTTTACTGTTTCAGATCTTGTTTTGAATGTCTTAAAACTATATGAATGGCATCATGTAGTAGTATCATTCTGGGCCTGGCTGTTCCATTCAGCACTTTGAGATTCGCCTGTGTTGATATGTATAGGTCTAGACAATGTAACTAACTTCAGTGTAATAGTCCTTTGACTATTTGCCATTGGTTTCCAAATGATGCTGCAACGAATACTCTTGCATGTCTGCTGTGTGTATGTCAGTCTCTCTAGTGTGCCTGATAACTTACTGTATTCCTGAATATATTCTGTACCTCCTAGGCTGCTTGCCTCTGTGTCAGCTGCCATGTCTAATCCCTGGACTTTGCATAAAAGCCATCCTGGGAAGGTTGGAAAACAGAAGTCACTCGATGCCCAGAGAACCAGGGGTATCTGCATACTTTCTCTACTAGTTAATTTCAACTTGATTAAAGCAATATGCACAGGAGTGAGGTAAGGCTTGGTAGCCCTGCAGATCTAGGTTTTGAATTCATGTCCTCTGCAACTAGTTGTAACTTTGGGCAATCTATGCTTTAGTTTCCTTCTCTGCAAACTATCTACCTGGCAGGTGCTTGGAAGGATTTGAGAAAATGGCTTATAAGTTACTTGGTTCAGGGTGAGGTAGATAGTAATAAGATATAAGCTTATTATTACAATGATAAGCTTATAACAATAAGATATAAACTTGGAATGAAGAGGCCAAATCATTATAAATTCAACAATATTGCAGTTACAAAGCACCAGTGAAAAAGATAGTTATTAAAGTCAAATGTGAATGAACTTATTACAACTTATAAATAAAATTTACAATAAATATACAGTAAGTTTACAAATGTGAAGTGTAACCTTTTTGCTTGCTTATTTTTTGTTAACAGTTAATAAAGCTTTATCAATGAGAGATATAATTCACATGCCATACAATTCATCCAATTAAAGCATCCAATTCAATGAGTTTTGGTATATTCACAGAAATGTACAACCATCACCACAATCAATTTTGGAACATTTTCATCATCTCAAGAAGCAACTCTGCCCATCAGCTATCACTGCCCAATTTCCCCATTCACCCCAGTCTAAAGCAACCACTAATCTATTTTCTGTCTCTGGATTTACCTATTCTGGACGTTTCCTATAAACGGGATTGTACACTATGTAGTAACTATAGCTTCTTTTACTGACCTTAACGTTTGCAAGTTTGGAGCCTATGTCAGTATTTCATTCCTTCTTATAACCAAGCGATTTCCCATTGCCTGGATGTACCACGTTGTCCTTATCCACTCGGCAGTTGATGGACATTTGAGTTGTCTGCCTTCTTTGGCTCTTATGAATAATGCTGCCATAAATGTTCGTGTCCAACTTTCTGTGTGGACATACATGTTCGATTCTCTGAGATAATACCCAGGAGCGACACCGATGGGTCAAATGGTAATCCTACATTTTACTTTTTGAGGAGCTGCCAAACTGTTTTCCAAAGTGACTACACTACTTTACCTTCCCACCGGCAGTGTATGAGGGTCCAATTTCTCCACATCCTTGTCAACACTTGTAATAAGTGACCTTTGAATCTATTCACACCCATTCTAGTGGGTGTGAAGTGGCATCTCCTGGTTTTGATTTGCATTCCCTCAGTGACCAATGACGGTGAGCATCTTTTCAGGTGATTACTGGCTACAGTATTTGTTTTGAGTAAGTGTCGGAAGTATATTATTATAATTTTTTAACGAATTTATTTATTTATTTGTGGCTGCGTTGGGTCTTCATTGCTGCGCACGGGCTTTCTCTAGTTGCCGCGAGCAGGGGCTACTCTTTGTTGTGGTGCACGGTCTTCTCATTGCGGTGGCTTCTATTGTTGCTGAGCATGGGCTCCAGGTGCGCAGGCTCAGTAGTTGTGGCTCGTGGGCTCAGTAGTTGTGGCTTGTGGGCTCTAGAGCGCAGGCTCAGTAGTTGTGGCGCACGGGCTTAGTTGCTCCAGGGCATGTGGGATCTTCCCGGCCCAGGGCTCGAACCCGTGTCCCCTGCATTGGCAGGTGGATTCTTAAGCAGTGTGCCACCAGGGAAGTCCCGGAAATATATTATTGAATGTCTCTTATATGCCAGGTACTTGGGGTCACGTTGACTTTTTTCATTAGCATTTCATTTGATATGGTATTATACTATTTTGTAAATGGGAAAATCAAAGCTGGAGATATTAAACTGCAGATTTACATTTGAATTTTATATCCATTTAAAAGTACACTCCTTCGTGTGAGTGTGTAGCTTTTTTTGTATTTGTTAATTTCATTCTTTGGTATGTACTCCTCATGTTTCAACAATGAGTCAATCTGACGAGGCAGTGGATGTTTTCACACCACAGAGGGCCCACCAGCCCTGTTCTAATTGATCTGTGTGTAACACAGGTCGGAAAGCAGACACCATCATCCCCTTCACACGGGAGGAAACGGAGCTCTGGGGGCCACTCGCCCAAGGTCCTCAGTAACGACAGAGCCTGGCTGTGAAACCAGGTAGGGGCTCCAGGGTGTGCCCCCCACAGGCCCCAGGCTGCCTCCACGCCGTATGCCCCCTCTTTCACTTCAGAGGCTGTGTGCCCTGAGATGTGCCCGTGAAGATCCCAACCAACAACACGCTGCTGGGGTAAGAGACTCAGGAGAGAAACTTGAGATAGTGATAAGGAAACTAGCTACACGGACTGAAGGGTCATGGTTGCTATGGAAAATACGATGCATTTAAGTGCGTTAGATACAATCTTAGGAGGAATGAGAAACACCTCTTACTTTTTATATTTAAAGGGAGTCCAAAAATCATTATTGCACTGTTTTTATAACCAGAAGAATAAAAGATGACTTTTCCCTTTTCCTGAACTCAAGCCTCTGGTTCTGCTGTGGGTCGAATTGTGCCCCCTGAAAGTTCGCATGTTGGGAATCCTCACCCCAGGACCTCAGAATGTGCCCTTTCTAGAGACGGGGCTCTTGCAGGTGTAACTAGCCGAGATGAGGTCATGCTGGAGCAGGGTGGCCCCCACCCAGTGGGGACACTTGCACACAGACACGCACACGGGGAGAACACCACGTGAAAATGAATGCTGGGCCTGGGGTGAGGCATCACCAGCCAAGGGACCCAAAGATGCCAGAAACCACCAGGGCCAGCAGCGGGTAGGAACAGACTCCCCGTCAGGTCCCGGAGGACCAGCCCTGCCGACACGTGGATCTGACCCCAGCCTCCAGAACTGTGTCAAGTCACCAGTCTGAGGTCCCTAATTACAGGAGATCCAGGAAACTCAGACAGACTCTCACTGACAAGTGTGTAAACCACAGCAGCCCCATGGGACCCACACCTGATCCTCACTCAACAGTGAAGAGTTAACCCTTGACTACCAAATTCGCTAATCTATACACTACTTTTCATAAGAAATAAAAGATTTTGACTGTTCCCATCACCATGTATTTTATTTATTTCAGCTAGATATTTACAGATATTTGCTGATACAAAAATACAAGGACCAGGCAGACTGAAAGTTGAGGCAATGCCACTCTCACTGCAAAACCCTCCAGCTCCTTGAGCTATGTGTACTTTCCCAAACGCTTTCTCAAAGGCTTTAAATAGTTGAAAATATTTCCACGTGAGAACGACTCCACGGCACTGTATGCACCAGGACCGGACGGGGGCTCAGTATCTGTACTTGGTGGAGTAGTCCTTCGGGGACACGACCAGGCCGCGGCCTTTCCGGGCCCCCCGGTACACCGTCTCGATGATGTCGATCATCTCCTGCTTGTCTTCCATGGCCCAGTTGATCTTGTTGTTGTTGCCAGTGCCCAGGTCGATCATGATGTGCTTGTTCCTGTAGGTTGGCAAGAGGGGGTCAATGCTCGTAAAAATCCTTCTGAAACAGAATCCCATGAAAAACATACCTGTATCTCCCACTGTGAACGAGGACACACACAATCAAGGGGGTCTGCCACTGTTTAGCAGGCTGGAAACCACCTAAATGCTGCTTAAAGAAACACACAGCTCCTTCCGCGTGCTCTGCACTCCCTAAGACAAAAAACCTACAGGGCACTCAAGGCCAAAGGACACAGCTTCAGTCACCTGGAGAGACAAACTGTTTTCCAGAGGACTGCACTAATTTACCTGAAAAAGGCAATGTATGCGTTTGTCATGGTGTTCTTGTGAGCACTTGGTGTAAATTTTATTGAAAGCCATACTAATTGTGAAATAGATATGATATTTTGCATTTCTATAATTCTTCGTAGACTGACCTTTCAAGACGCTTCTTTCTGAAATGAATTTATACGGGCACTGCATAAAAGAAAGACATTAACGCTTCTTGTACCAGCTGCACTGACTTTTATCAATTTAGCTTCCTGTTTCTGCAAGGTTGTGTGTCTGGCCCCCAGCTGCTGTTCCATGGTGCGTGCCCCATCCATCCTGAGGTCACAGCGTGGCCTCCTTTCAGCCAGGGCGGGCTTCCAAAAGGCAGACCTGATGCTTCTCTCTTGCTGCAGACACTCACTTCCAGGAACCTCCCAAGTCCACACACTGGCCCAGAAAACCCGGCATCTGGGCCCCGCCACCCTCTCCCCTGAGCACCCGCCACTCCCCAGCCCTCACCTGTCCGTCCTTCCGCATCCCTGCAGGTCCCCAAACGTGCGGCCTGCGCTGCCCTGTGCCCCTGCCTGTGCTCCCCCCTGTTGGGATGCACGTGGCTCATGCCAACCTTATCCAGCAGCCTTTGAGCACTCCCCATCACCCTGTTGCACTCAGTGTTTGTGCCTCTGTAAATACCTGTTGCAATACTGTGATTTATAGGAAAAATATATATTTGGTCACTCAGAAGAATATATTTCTCATATGTATTTGGTCTTCACCCACAGATCCTGGCTCACAGCTGCCAAAACCTTCGGAATTTCCTGCAATAAGAGTGATGGGATATTTGGACTCTAGTCCCCCGTTCCTGAAGACACTTTAGGGCCATAAAGGTGAAACGGGTGCATAAGCACCCTTTCTGTCACAGTGAGTTTGTTAATGAAGGCGACTTCTACCTGGGCGGGGCTGCCCTGACGGGGAAGGAGGTTGCAGAAAGGAGTCGAGTGGCGCTGCGGCAGGGTGCCCAAGAATCACCTGTTGGCATAGGGAAGCCTGCACACACACGCACACACATACACGTTGCAACTGGGCCTGGGAACCCCTTTATCACCTGTCCCCTTGCATCTCCCTGGTTCCCTGTGCTAATTTACTCAGCTGTCGCCATCAGATGACGGTCTGTGACAGGAGGAAGCCTGTCTTATCTGACTTAATGTCCCAGCACTAGACATAAAAGCCAGCAGGACTCCGTACGTATATATACTTGGTGAATAAATTAATTAAAATACTGTTACTACTTGTCTTAGAATCCTGGGTCACAGAAACAGTACGTTTTGTCCCCTTTTCCAAGTGCAGCATCAGTCCTAAACCATCAAAACACACGGTGGCCGCAGCGCCACTCGACTCCTTTCTGCAACCTCCTTCCCCGTCAGGGCAGCCCCGCCCAGGCGGGCCCTACACAGTGCTGTGCCCACGGCCCACCTGGAGGGCTCTGGGAAAATGTGAGGAGCATGGCAGATAAGGCCGAGATTGCCTTAAATAGCCTGTTAGTGGAAACGTGGGCTTGGAAGGAGGTGGGGATGCATTTCGGGGAGTGGAGGAAAGGAATCCTTGCTGCACAGCGGCAGAATGTCTGTGACGCTCCAAAGTGATGAGCATGGATAGCAGCTGAGGACACATAAGCAAAGTCTTGAAGGCGCTGCCTGGGTTCGTACCGCTTATAGTAAAAGGAGGGAGACAAACCGGAGTAAGATCCGTTAACCCAGAAGATTTCTCAGCCTCTCCAGATATAGCAAAAGATGCTGAAATCCAGAAATGGCTGCTCAACTGTTGACAGAGGCCACACCACCTTCTGCTGAAAACTAGAAAAGACCTAAAAGTCAGAATGTTCAGTCACAGGACAGGATCTTCCCCCAGGAAGCAGCCATCGGGCAGAGGGCAGCCCCGGTGCCCAGGACAGAAACCCGACTGGCTCAGGCTGAGAGGGATAGAGCACACAGTGAGAGGGGCTGACGCAACCCCAAAATGCTGCTGGCAGGAAGCAGGTTGAAAAATGAACCAGCTGCAAATGCCTTTCATAAAAAAGGCAGAAAAAACTGGGTAGAACCCTCCCAGGGGGAGGCACCGTGCCAGGACTATGGTCCCAGGGCCACATCAGAGCCCCCTTCCGAACCCTGACGCCCCACGGTGAACCCAAATCGCTTCCTGTGCCTGTCCCACACTATGTCCTGGAGAGGGGGCCACAGGTGCGGAGCTGTGTCCAGGAGCTGTGCTTAATGGATCACCTGAGAAGCCTCATCCACACCCAGTTCTGCACACGGGAGGGAAATGCATCTTTGGGAGCCGGAGGGCAGGCTGCGGTAGGCAAAATGCTAAAATGGGAGGGATATGTATCTTTGGGACCCGGAGGGCAGGCTGCAGTAGGCAAAATGCTAAAATACTCCCTGCTACCTCCCGCCCTAATCCCTGGGACTGTGCTATGATGGGACACCAGGCCTCTGATCAGTTACACTACACTGCAAAGCGAATTCTGCAGATGTCCCTAAGGTTACTCATCAGTTGATTTAAAAATAAGGAGACGCTCCTGGATTGTTGGGTGAGTCTAATCCAATCACAAGTGCCCTCTGAAAGCAGAACAGGAAGTTGGAGCAGCTGTACAAAAAGGACTCAACTCACCGCTCAGGGCTTCGAAGACAGAGGGACCTCTAGGAGCAGAGAGGGGCCCTGGCGGAAACAGACCTCAGACCCCTAATCACCGGGAGATGGATCCAGCCCACAGCCCCCGTGAGCCAAGTGGATTCTTCCCTGACCAACTGCCTACATGACAGCCCAGCCCGTGACTCTGGCCTTGTGAGACCCCGAGGCAGAACCCACAGAGCCTGCCTGGACTCTGCCCTAGAGACCTTGAGCTCATAAATGGTGTTGTTTTCAGCCACCAAGTTTGTTACAGAAAATAGAAACCGAATACACACCTTGCACACTCCACCCAGACCTTCCTCGACCATTAGGGAGCTCCGCTCCTGCAGTATGGCCTAAGGTTTATATTGCTACTTACTAACTTTTGTAGTAACAATAAACAGTACGAAATTTTGACAAGTAAAAACAGTATCAAACGGTGATTTCCAAATTAAACCTCCACAACAGAATTTTTTTTCACTCATGATGTTACTTAACTATATCATATAAATACCATCAAAGGTATTTGCGTCTGCATCAGACTCTTGTGTACCTAACCAGTAGCCACTCCACGTTTTCCTTTCATGCAAAGCCTGCTAATCATGGGTACAAATTAATTTAAGGTGATTAGGGAAAGTCTATTCCTTGAGCCCATGACTGACTGACTAGGGTACACAACAGAATTTTTCAGCTGATAAAAGATTTTTTACAAGATTTTGTATTTATAAGCAAAGTAATTAAGTACAGGTTTTCCTCTTGGATATCACAAAAGGATGCTACATAGTCATTGATACATTTTAAAAGTGAGTTATTTTAAAGACATTTTTCATCAACAGATGAAATTTAAAGGTATCTTAAATTTCAGTAAGAATGTCTTCCATTTAATAACACTTCCCCTAGGTTCCTGGGCAGTTATTTCAAAAGGGTAATTTGTTACTGAGTAAATGCTAAAACTGGAATTGTTACTTTGAAAATTATTTAAAAGATTGATTGCCTGGTGATACAAACTATATTATAATATGACTGCATAACTGACTTCCTCCTAAATAAAAGAATCTAAAGATTTCTTGGTTTCATTAAACTTCCAGACCATCTATTCAATTTAAACAACAACTTTAAGATAAGCGAACATACCTGAAGAAAAACATGACAGTGCATGGGTCGTATAACTCATACATTTTGTTGAAGTCAGGTACTTCTGTAATATCCACAAGATAAATAACTGCGAAATTTTTAACCTAAAAGTAAAGGAGATTGGGGGAAAAAAAACTAAAATAACAAATCAACTTTTTATTCTGTAAAAGCACATTCAAAAACAAAAACAGAAGCATCTGTGTATAACAGAACAATTTTCAAACTGACTCTGCAACATTTTTTGCCAGTAGAGCTGCCATGTAGGAAATTACTTCAAGAGGATCAGGGTCCTGAGCAACTGTCCGTTAACATCTCATTTAATGTTTTTCAGAACAGCAAGTTATGAGAATCCCGCAGAAGACGTCCACAGATACACCATTCACGCTGATCTAGTAACAATCTATGTGAACTTTTCCAATTTGTACTTTCACAAATACTGAATTACACGCTTTAAACAACTGCTTTAAAACATGCCTTTGGAATTCCGCCACACACTCCCCTCTTACTGAGGTCTGGACACTTGCACATACTAACGGCCTAACACCCCAAATCACACTGCAGGTAACTAAGGTTCTTTAATTTCTTCCACAGCTGCAAGCTCATCAGAGAACGTCTGGAAAACCCAGAAAACCATAAATAAAACAACCTTCAACCCCAACACCTAGAGCTGACTGCTGAGAATATACTTTTACTATATTCTTTCCCATTTTTTCTGGTATATATGTTTATACTCTTTTAACAAAATGTGATCATAGAGTGATCACACTACAAGATTTTGCATCCTGCTTTAATTATGAGCATCCTCTTACATGAATCGTATACTTTACATAAGAGAAAAACAAAAACAAAATTTTATGGCTACATAACAGTTCACCAAGTGGCTATACCATTATTTTTACCATTCTTCTGTTATTTTCTTTGACTGTTCATGAATATAAATAATTCAGATTTTCATTGATATCAATTATTCACATGTGAACATTACCCTTAAATTCATATACATACTTCATTATTTCCTAAGGATAAACACCTAAAATAGAATCTTTTGAACAAAAGACATGACATTTTAAAGGCTCCTTGTAAATACTGTCTCAGTGCCTTTTAGAAAGCTTATACCGATTTATATCATGGGTTGAATTATGTCCTTTCACCCCACAAGAAGATATACTGAAGTCCTGACCCCCAGTACTCAGAATGTGACCTGATCTGGAAAAAGGGTGCCTGCAGAGCTCATCAGTGAAGGTCAAACGAGGTCATACTGGAGTCTGACCCCTAATCCAATCTGACTGGTGTTCCTATAGGAAAAGGGCCATGTGAAAACACACCAAGGGAGAAGCCACATGAACAGGGAGGACTGGAGTGACGCACACCTATAAGCCAAGGAGTGCCACAGATCGCAGAAGACGCCAGGAGCTGGAAGAAACAAGAGGGGATTCTCCCTTGAGGATTTCAGAGGGAGCATGGCCCTGCTGATTTCGGACACCTTGATTTCGGACTTCTGACCTCCAGGCTGTGAGGTAATAAATTTCTGTTGTTTTAATCTGCCCGGTTTGTGGCGCTTTGCTACAGCAGCCCCCGGAAATTCACAGAAAATGCACAACGTTTCTTCATATAAAACTAACTCTAAAAACCTAATAACTGTAATTTACAGATGAAATAATACGGTATTTGGGATTTGCTTTCAATAGTGCAGCACGAAAAGTGTTTGAGGGGTTAAATGGTACACGACTGACAAAATATTGGTGATTGCAGTAGGTACAGAGGAGTTCACTGTTCTCTCCCTTTTACTTGGGAATATGAAGTAGTTAATAAGGAAATTTAAACCACCATCAGCCAGAAAAAGGAGGGAAGGAAGTTTACATTTAGTGGGCACTCCTTTTGCGGACAGCCCTCGGTGCTGAGGTAGGGGAATACCTACCAGCACGTCTCTCCCAGCCACGTGCCCCTCTCCTGGTGAAAGGAGACAACACACCTGCAGAAGGTGGAGAGAGCTGAGCACCACGTGCTCACGTGGCCACAGCCGACACCGAGGTGGACGACTGGGCAAAAGCATAGCCACGCGCTGGTGGGACTGCTCCCTGGCAAAAGTTGCCCCGCTGGCGTTTAAGGTTCTGCCCACATCCAATTTCGCTAAGCGCATTTTATTTCTTCCCACATAATAAAACATATTATATTAAAAAAAAACAGATATTATAATTAAAAAGATAGATACTAACATCACAGTATAACCAAACACAAACACACACACACACATCTGCCTCCTAAAGCATAAAATGACAATCCAACAAGAGTCCCAGACACCTTTCAATCCAACGAAAGCCAATTGGTTCTGGTTCCTAGAACCCCCAAATCTCCCAAGTTAAAGCAGAAATCGACCGGAGAAACCACATTCTCTTAAAAGTTACTAGAATATATCTCAACCAGTTCACGTATGAGGACATTCAACTATCCCAACTCAATGTCATATAATTTTCACACTGTAAACGCTGGTTTTTATGTGAGACTTTCTAAAGAGGACTTATTTTTCTTTTGCCTTCAGTGATGAGTGAGAAGACCATAGCTCATTCAGAAGCAAAAAACAACGGACACTACAGGATTTCATTTTCTCTTCCGCTCCACATAAATCACATCATGGTAAACGTGAAGCCTCACAAGGTCGGGAACCACACCTGTGATATTTATTGTAAGAATGAACTTTAGAAATAAACTTATATTTCAAAATTCAGGAAATATATTATTGTCATTATGGACTTAACTACCTAATCCTGAGTTCAAACAGACCTGCATTAAGAGATGGTCTGGTCCCTTCTTCCTTAGAGGAGGTGCCCTGATGGCTCCTCCAGCCCCTGCAGCTCTGGGAAGAGAAGGCCCACAGCACCAGCTGGCGTTTCTCTAATCCTGTGACCCTCCCAGCTTCTCTCCTCTGGAAGAGCTTGTCCTAGAGGGGGTTGCACGGATTCTATCATGATGCTTTCTACAAGGGCTGAACTATTCCTCCTGAATGTTTCACATCCATTAATGAATCTGCAATTAACTATAACCCTTGTGTATTTTTTATATAAAACTGAAATAAGCTACGTGTCTATGATCTTTTCTCCATTTAAAAAATGTCCATTTTGAAAACATAGAAATGGAATGGAAACATCACGGCTTTGTTTCCAGCCCAGTATTTTTAAAACAAGTTATATAATTTAAAAGTACATGACAATCAGGAAATTCCCTGGCGGTCCAGTGGTTAGGACTTGGTGCTTTCACTGCCAGGACCCGAGTTCAATCCCTGGTTGGGGAACTAACATCACACAGCCACGCAGCCCAGCCAAAAAATTAAAAAAAAAAAAAAGAGTATATGACAGTCAAATAAAATCAATAGTATATAAGTGCTTTAAAATGAAAAGTAAATGTTTCCCTTTCCCCAGACCCACATGTTCTCTTGTGAGAAAACTGCATACATTCTGCTTTTCTCCAGCTAATGTCATTAACCAGTTTCCCCACGTTGCTAAATAAAGCTCTTAGGAAATCATTTTTAATGGTCAAATAATATCCCATCCAGGGGAGAAGATGCTCCACTTTAAATCCTCACGCCCCATTTCTGCGCCCGGACAAACTACGTCGTGGCACCTGCCTCTGGGAGCTGCCGTGAGGACCACGCCGGGAGTCCATTTCCCACCTATCACCGTGACTGGCCTACGTGCCACACACTGGGGATTACGGTCATAAGCATATGCTCCCCCTTCACTGGGCATCACGGTTCTTCCCAGTTTTGCTATCAGTCACAGCAACAGTCTCAGGGAGCCTAAGGCATGGCTGTCCTTAGGGCTCTTCACCCAATGCCAGCTGCTTCCCAGGGGCGGTACCAGCTTCACTTCTGCCTGAGTGTTAGATCGGCTTTCAACCTACGCCCTACGAGTTAGACCTTTGATACACCTGAAAAATGACAGTACACTATTTTAACGTGTGCTTCTTTGAAGTTTATTTAACCGTTGGAATTTCCTCTTTTTTTCCAGTTCTGTGCCCACTTATCCACAGGGGTCATTGACCTGCAGGAGTCTACAGTATCTACAATAATATTTTGCCCACTATATTTGCAGTAGTTAAGCAGCTGTTGAATAGAATTTTTTTTTTAAATCAAGAACCAGATGTACAAATTTCCCTTCTATTATCAAGTTGTTTTCTAGTATATGTCCTTTTGATTGTCTAAACTAGTAACTGTCCTTTCCAACCCTGCTGCCACACATTTTACAAGCAGGCTGCTTTTTCAGCAAGTCAGTGATTACGCAGTTCAGTGGTCCTGCATGCTGCCAGGTGCCTCCGGGTTAACGTAACTCGTGCTAAGTCACCAAGGCTGAAGGCTGTCGATGCTGCCAGCCACCCTTCCACCCTTCTGTATAGAGCTCCTCCACTAGCTAAGAACCCACCTAAAATTCTGGAAAAAATGTTCCTGACTGTCAATTGCCAATACGTATTTTTGAAGTGTCAAGTTTTACATTTTTAGAGAGTTCACTTCAAAGCCATCACAAAGCTGCATGAGAACTTCATTTCCTCAAATTGCTGTTCGCCCTGATTGGCTGTTGGTTCCTATGAGATTCCTCATTTGAGCATAAATTTCTGCTGATTCAACCTACTTTATCTCATGCTTAAGAATGACCCCCTGAAGCCATTCCTAAGTAGTTCCATGAATACGTTTACCTTATGTACAATCTAATTAGCACGTATGGCTATGAGATAGTATCACTGAGGTTTTGCATATTTTAAACTCTATCTCTATGAGCTTTTTAAACAGACCAAAATTAAACATCCCACTTATTCTTACATATAATGGGATTTAGAAACAGTGAGCTGTGGCAAAGTGCGTTCCTACAAAATGGCAAGACAGCTCAGAAGTACACAAAATAGTCTCGCTTCGAAGCTGTGCGTAAAATCACCCACTAAACAGGAACCTTTATTTTGGTTATCACTCTACCAAACTCCAGGCATCTGTCAAATCTTTAAACATATCTCTATGTTTTCCATACAGCTCAAAACGAGCGCAGCATGTGGCGGGGCTGGAGCTACCAAGCAGCGAGTCGGTGAGTCCCGTTCCAGGAGGGACAGTGCGGTCAAGTCCAGCCTCAGCACTGGGACTCTTACTCACTTTAACACAGCTGGGGTATCCAAACAGGGCTCGCAACAAGACGAGGAAGATCCCCCATTATCTGCCGTTTCTGCAGAGGGAGATAGACAGTTAAATTGTTCTTTATACTAAAACCTTAAATTTCAAAAAGTCCTATTGTGCTTCCCCAAAAAGGGCTTCCAGAATTATAAACTCACATTCTGCCCTTATACTAGGTAGAAAACAAAACATTAATAGTCTTGTAATGCATTTCAAGCTTGCATTCTGAATAACTGTACTGTAATATAGTATTGAAAGTTTACTAAAATAGAAATCCAAGTTTTGGACACAAGAAATGGAAGAACTTAAAAGACCAAAGAAAAGCACTCAAAGTGAGCCCAGTTAAACTGTACCAAAAGAGCACGTCTGCTAGTACTACAGCGACTTGGTCTCTGACTGATATATAGGGATTAGAAAGGAACAGTTCCAGTAAAAGCCCCTAAAAACTTACACTGACACAAAATCTGCCTCCTAGCTAAGAGTATCTTGCTGAGTTTTGCTCAGATACGAAGAGCAAACAACCCTCACGCCTCTGCCATCCTAGCCTCGTGCTGGGGGCAACCGGGTCTGGACATCCCCTGGTGCTACCTGCAAGGCAGAAGGCAGAACACACACCTAAGTTACTTCAGAGTCAACACAGCAGTGATTCGCTTACTGAACAGTGTCTTTGTCCATCTTCACTGAAGTCTGCAGTCTCCGCCCTTGACTACTGTAGCTTCAGCCATGCAGACACGGGTCCCCAACACCACCTCACTCTTGACCTCTGATGGGACCAGGAGGACCCCTGGGGGAGAATCCTGTTCTCCTGAGCTCCCCAGGCACCTCCTCAAGCTCCCTCGATGTCTAGGCACCCGGGAGGAAGAGGGGAATGGCTATAATCACAGCACTACTCTGACCCTGACCTCCTGAGGGGATTCTGAAAGTCATGTCAGAATTCCCGGGGGAGCTTCTTTAAAAAGCCGTTTCTGGACCTCGCCGCAGACCTGTAGAATCAGGATCTCTGAGATGCACTTTGGTATTCCAAGCGATACTTACGCTGACAGACACAGAAGACGGTCCCTAATGTTCACAAGGCCACCTCCCCCAACTCTGCCTGTCCCACCAAATAGGAGATAGTGAAAATTACCGATGGCAGGTCAGATAATTTTTCCTTTCCTAAATACAAAATATATCCTTACACCTGTTACTCTTTACTCAAAGGCGTTATTTTAACCCAGCTCACATTAGCATATGCTACTCCTGTGAAAGAAAAGATGGCTTCAAAGTTTCTTACTTTTACTCTTCATTAAAATGAATAACCTCTCAAATTACTATGGAATATTAATAAGTTAAATATTTTATTAGCATCCTTTTGCCTTTTGCCCTATTGCTACACCTGCAAAAATCTATATCAAAGTTATCTTAGAATCCCTATGAGACAATTATAGAAAAAGAATTAAGCCCTGGTTATTCAACAGTGCCCTACAATCGCACTTTATTGTCAGCAAACAAAGGCCACAGACAATCCAGTGTTACTAAATTTAAGAATTAGGGAAATTAGCTCTAACAAGTACAGTTCTGCCTTCTCCCAATGTTTCCTGCATTTGAGTCACTCTAAGCTATAAATCGAGTCAGTTAAAAGAGCACCGGTGGGGTAAAGAACCGACCCAAAGAAAAAGAACGGGATTTACTATGCTATCAACATAAATGTTCTGCTTTATAAACGCAACAAATAAACATGGTACCAAAAAAAGGACAATCCTTTTAAACTAAGCTATTCAAAGTAAGCTCCTAAGCGCCTGCCAAAGTCTGCAAATGTGTTTTGCTCTGGGCACTACAGATGTAAATTTTTGCAAACACCCTCTCAGTTAAAACCCCTGTAAGTTAATAGGAATTATGAACTTCTTTAGGGGGGAGAGATCAGCAACTTCTTAAAAATTTGGAAATCTATGGAAAATTCTCCCAGAAAATAACATAAGCTATTCTGACCAATTTCAGGGAGCCCATCCTCACATCCCAAGGGAAGACTGTCCGTTTGTGAATCCTGCTGCTTCTCTTTCACCGGTGAACGTGCCGCACTTTTTTCTTTTTTTTTTTAGTTTTTACATTTATTCTTTTTTTCTTATTGGAGTATAATTGCTTTACAATGGTGTGTTAATTTCTGCTTTATAACAAAGTGAATCAGTTATACATATACATAGGTTCCCATATCTCTTCCCTCTTGGGTCTCCCGCCCTCCCACCCCTCCAGGTGGTCACAAAGCACCGAGCTGATCTCCCTGTGCTATGCGGCTGCTTCCCACTAGCTAGCTACCTTGCGTATGGTAGTGTATATATGTCCATGCCTCTCTCTCGCTGTGTCACAGCTCACCCTTCCCCCTCCCCATATCCTCAAGTCCGTTCTCTAGTAGGTCTGCGTCTGTATTCCTGTCTTACCCCTAGGTTCTCCTTTAAATCTTACCGGCAAAGCAATCCAACACGATGAAATGACCAAACGGAAGGCGGGACGCGATGTGAGGTGGGGCTGCGTTACCTTTTCAGCTATGCTGTACAGAACCTCGTCCATCTTCATACAAGTAGGGTCCCAGTCGTGTCCAAACCGAATGACGACCACGCGGTCTTCTTCCGAGAGGATGGCCTGATCCACTTGCCAGCCATTGTGCAGGTGCGGGAGCATGTACGACATCTTGGGGCCGACGGGTCTGCGGGAGGGAACCACCGGCCAGCTCCTCCCAGCTCCAGCGCGGCGCACCCACGGGGCCCCCACCCCACGGGGCCCCCACCCCACGGAGCCTCACCCCGCGGGGCAGTCGGTGCGCTGCCGGGAAGGCCAGGCCCGCGTCCACCTCGTCCCCAGACCCCGACCCCACCAACGGATCGCCTCCGCCCCGCGGCCCAGAACCCAGGGCGAAGGGACCCTTGGGGTCGTACACCCACGCCGCCCTCGCCACCCGCTCCGGCGCCCGGCCCAGCACGCACACTGGGCCCTGCGGCTCAGCGTTCCTTCCGGGCGTGGACGCACGCCCGCAGTGCGTGCGCGCCGGCGAGTGCGTGCGCGCGCCCCCGGGCAGGGGCCTGGGGGCTGACTGGGCGCCGCAGTGATGGGCGTGGCTGGGAGGTCCTTATAGTGAGAGGCTCGGAGGCGGTTCGGCTGGGTAGGGCTGGTCCAGACCTGCTGCCTCTTCGGTCAGTTATCGGAGTCCGAGCTGCTACGGTGCCACCGGGGCCTGGGGTGGACGGACCGGCCCGCCGGGACCCCGGGCTGGACGGAGAGGATGGCATCGCTGAGGAAGGGCTCGTCCCCGTTTACCCCCAGACGAAGTCCCCCAAGTTAATCATTTTGGCGGTCACGCTTTCCAGACGTAAACACAGTTGCTTTATTTGTCAAAAGCAAGTAATTAACAGAAGAGTCCTGGTAAGACTCACACGCGCCCAAATTATTTATTTAAATTAGTATTTCTAAACATTTTTTATTGTGGTAAAATATATATAATATAAAATTTACCATTTTAGCCATATAGTTCAGTGGCATCGTTGACATCCTTGTACAGCCATCAGCACTCCAAATACTTCTTTTGTTAAAAAGCTTTGTTAAGGTGTTATTCACATACCATAAAGTGATTCCCCCATTTCAAATAAGATGGTTTTTCCCAGAGTTGTGGAACACTACAGTCTGATTATGGAAAATTTTCATCACCCCAAATCCTGTACTCATTAGCAGTCAGTACCATACTCCTCCCATCCCTTTGGCTTTTGTCAACTACTAATCTATCCTAGACATTTCACGTAAATGGAAGCATAAGTATGTAGTCTTCGTTCACTTAGCCTAATACTCTCAAGGTTCACCCACACTGTAGCAGGCATCAGCACACTTGACGCTTGAGCAACAGGGGTTTGAACTTACACATGTACTATGTGTACTACATGATCTGCAATTGGTTAAATCTGCAGATGGGGAACCGCGGATACGAAGGGCCAACTGGAAAATTATGGGTGGATTTCTGACTTCACAGAGGGTCATGGTTGAAGGGTCAACGGTACTTGGTTCCTTTTTGTTGCTGATTAATCTATTGTTTGGATATATTGCATTTTATCTCTCCATCAGTTAATTGACATCAGGGTTGTTTCCACTCTTTGGCTGTTGTGAAAAATGCTGCTATGAACATTTGTGTACAAGTTTTTGTATGGATTTTAAGTCTTCATTTCTCTTGGGTATGCAGGTGGCGTGGTTGAATCATGTGATAATTATGTTTACTGTTTTGAGAAGTTGCCAAACTGTATTTAAAAGCGGCTATACCATTTTACATTCGCAACAGCAATGTGGTGGGGTTGGATTTCTCCACATCTTTGTCTACTCTTTGTGTGTTTTTGTTTTTGTTTTTTTACAATGATATCCTGGTAGTTGTGATGTCTTATTATGGTTTTGACTTGCATTTCCCTAATGGCTAGAGATATAGAGCATCTTTTAATGTACTTATTGGCAATTTGGAGAAATGTCTATTCATCTCCTTTGGCCAATTAAAAATGGATTAGTTGTCTTTTTATTATTGAGTCGGAAGAGTCCTTTATATATTCTGGATGGAAATTCCTCATCAGATATAAGAAAATATTTCCTCCCATTTTATGAATTGACTTTTCACTTTTAATTGGTATCATTTGCAGCATAAAACTTTTAAATTTTGATTAAGTCCAAGGTATCTGTTTTTCCCTTTGTTGCTTGTGCTTTTGGTATCGTGTCTGAGAAACCATTGCCTAACTCAATATCATGAATATTTATTCCTCTTTTCTTCTTAGACTTTTAAAGTTTTAACTCTTACTTTTAGGTTTATGATCATTGTGAATAAATTTTTATGTATGGTGTTAGGTAGGTGTCCAACTCTATTCTTTTGGTTTTTTGTTTTGTTTTGTTTTGTTTTGGCGGTGCCACGCAGCTTGTGGGATCTTAGTTCCCCCACCAGGGATTGACAGCTCTATTCTTTTGTATGTGCATATCCAGGTGTCCCAGCACCATTTATTGGAAAGAGTTTTCTTTCCCCATCAAATTGCCTTGGCTCCCTTGTTGAAAATCAATTGACTTTAAATATAAGGATTTATTTCTGTAGTCTCAATTCAATTCCATTGATCTGTATGTCTAGCCTTATGTCAGTACCACACTGGCTTGATTAGTGTAGCTTCGTGATAAGTTTTGAAATCGGGAAGTGTAAGTCCTCCAACTCTGTTCCTTGTCAAGATTGATTTGGCCATTCTGGGTCACTTGCATTTCCATATGATCTTTAGGATTAGTTTGTCAATTTCTGCCAAAAAAAAAAAAAAGCATCTGGGATTTTGATAGGAATTGTGTTGAGTCTGTACACCAATCTAGGGAGTATTGCCATCTTAACACTATTAAGTCATCCAATCCATGGATATGGGATGTCTTTCCATTTATTGAGGCCTTCTTTAATTTTTATGACTTTTATAGTTTCCAGTATTCATGTCTTGCCCTTTTTATTAATTTTATTCCTAAATATTTTATTCCATTTGATGCTATTTAAATGGAATTGTTATTTTAAATATTTTCAGATTATTCATAATCAGTGTATAGAAATAGAATAGATTTTTTGGGGGGAGGGAAGAATCATTTTTTATTTTTATTTTATTTTTTGAATCTTTTCAAGTTGTATCAACCACACATAATTCGATAGAAATTTTTAGTGACGCATCTTTATTGCCTTTCTAAAGCATATAACTTAGTCATCATAGATACAAGCATCCTATGCCTTTTGCACTCATACTTCATAGCTTTATGAGACATTTAAATTATGTAACTTCAATAATCCACAAAATTTACATAAACTGGTTTGGGATTAAATTCGATCACATATAATTCAACTGGTGACAGCAAAAATGCACAGATGTATAGGGAGCTGCCTGAGCATTCAGCTTGGTTTGTGAAGAGAATGAAGAAATGCAGTTACTCCCAAGAATCTATTAGGTAGAGGTCAATTTGAAGATATTTGAATGTATATGGAAAGTGATGTTTGCATGCTTGTAGATTTTACAAATTTATGTTATCACACTGAATAAACATAGTAATATGGAGACTGCAAAATAGAATCGATTTTTTTCATTTGTTTTTATTTACTTTGTTTTTTCTCCCAGTTTTATTGAGATGTAATTGACATATAGCACTGTATAAGTTTAAGGTGTACAGCATAATGCTTTGACTTATGTACATCATGAAATGATTATCACAATAAGTTTAGTGAGTATCCAGTATCTCATATAGCTGCAAAAGAAAAGAAAAAGAAAAAATATTTTTCCTTGTGATGAGAACTCAGGATTTATACTCTTAACAACTTTCATACATAACATACAGCAGTATTAATTATATTAATCATGTTGTACATTACATCTCTAGTACTTATCTTATGACTGGAAGTTTGTACCTTCGGACCACCTTCTTACAATTCCCCCTCCCCCCAACCCCCCACCACTGGTAACCACAAATCTTATCTGTTTTTCCATGAACTTTTTGTTTGTGTTTTTTTTTTTTTTTTTTTTGCGGTACGCGGGCCTCTCACTGTTGTGGCCTCTCCCGTTGCGGAGCACAGGCTCCGGACGCGCAGGCTCAGCGGCCATGGCTCACGGGCCCAGCCGCTCCGCAGCATGTGGGATCCCCCCGGACCGGGGCACGAACCCGCGTCCCCTGCATCGGCAGGCGGACTCTCAACCACTGCGCCACCAGGGAAGCCCCTTTGTTTGTGTTTTGAAGTATAATTGACCTACAACACTATGTTAGTTCCTGGTGCACAACATAGTGATTTGATATTTCTGTATATCACAAAGTACAATTGAGTTTTGTATAGTGATCTTGTAGTCTGCAACCTTGCTGAATCATTTATTATTTTTGAATAGTTTTTTACTGGATTCCTTGGGATTTTCTATATATAAGATCATATCATCTGCAAATAGGGACAGCTTACTTCTTCCCTTCCAATCTGGATGCTTTTTATTTTTTCCTTGTCTAACTGCCCTAAAACGTCCAGTACAATGTTGAATAGAAGTGGCAAGAGTAGACATTTTGTCTTGTTCCTGATCCTAGGGGGGAAGCATTCAGACTTTCACTATTAAGTATGATATTTACTGTGGGCTTTTCACAAATGCCCTTTATGAGGTTAAGGAAATTCTCTTCTATTCCTACTTTGTTGAGTGTTTTTGTTTGTTTTTTTTTTAAATCATGAAAGGTTGTTAGGTTTTGTCAGATGCATTTTCTAATGCATCTATTGAGATGATCATGTGAGTTTTGTCCTTTATTCTCTTAATATGGTATACCACATTGATTTTTGTATGTTAAACCAATCTTGCATTCCTAGGATAAATCCTATTTGGTCACAGTAACTTTTCAAAATATGTCGCTGGATTTGGTTTGCTAGTATTTTATTGAAGATTTTGTGTCTGTAACTCACAAGCGATATTGGTCTGTAGTTTTCTTGTGGTATCTTTGTCTGATTTTGATAATAGTGGCCTCAGAGAATGAGTTGAAAAGTCACCAGCCCAGACAAGAAAAATCGATTATTTGACCAAGACTCCACATTTCTACTTCCATTTCCTCAAAAAGTATCTGATCATTTAGAAAATGGGAATAGGCTAAATCATCTCTGAGTTAATCAAAGTTCTTGAATTACATTTTTTAAAAAGATTTATTTATTATTTATTTATTTTGGGCTGCGTCGGGTCTTCGTCGCGGCACTCAGGATCTTCCTTGCGGCATGCGGAATCTTTCATTGAGGTGCGCGGGCTCTTGGTGGTGGTGCACCGGTTTTCTCTTCTCTAGTTGTGGCACACAGGCTCCAGGGTGCATGAGCTCTGTAGTTGTGGCGCACGGGTTCCAGAGTGTGGGCTCTGT